ACGCACCAAAAAAAAAAAAGAAAAGAAAAAAAAAAAGAAACGAGCACTCTAAGGCATCGCTGGGATGAGTTTTCTGAAGACGTTTGGACTTTCGCTAAGTGACATCTCAAATCAAATCGTATGAGATCATCACTGTGTCGGTTTGGTTTTAGTTTTACTAAGAGTTGTAAGGCTACTTGTAACACAAATAGGCCATATAAGAGCTGAAGATTAGAGGTATTATTATTGAGTAAAATACACAAAGAAAAGAAGGAGGGGAGATAAGAACGATAGATATTTGACAGGAAAGAAGGAGCCTGCCACATCAGAGCACCCGCCAACCACCCGCATAGCAGAGGTTTAACACCCCCTTTTAATACTGCAGGGATTTGTAATAAAACTTATACGAGCGGGGAACCTCCGAAATCTATGTACACCTTCGATAGGATCGGGCTAAATGGGCTGAGAGCCTTAAACATCTCAATAACAAAGTCAGAACGTCCATGTAAGTATTCCAACTCGGGCGCCAACCACTCCATAGTCCACCATGATGCCAACTGAGCTAGACATGAGAAAAATTCGTTGACGAGACACACTCGGTGTCTGTCTGTCCATCGAGATCTATCTTACGACAAAGACCGTTATTCTTTCAATGCGGGTGGAAGGCAGGAGTGTACCCCTGGTGCTTCCCCTTCCCCCTGTTGTTTCCATCAATCGATTGTTTCTTTGTTACCGTCTCCCACGCTCTGTCCAACGCTAACAAAATGAACAGTATTGTGACCATTTGGGTGGTAGGAGGGTGCCTCGCTGTAGGTCCAACTAATCCGTTACTCAAAGGAACCGAATGAAAATTCGTGCCCATGTGGGTAGTTGGAGGGTGCCATCTGTCTTATTTCTATGTTAATCAATCAAACGAGACAAGTTAATAAGTTAATAATTAATTAATTAATTGATGAATTAATTAATACTTGACTCGGCGGAGGTCACGTCCACATCAGGTCTCCTCCTACATCCGGGGTTCTGGTGCTTGGGCCGGGGGCGATCCAGAGAGGGTAGCGGCTGTGATGGGCCAGGGAGAAATTCTTGGAGTGTAAAAAAAAAGCAAACTAAAATGACAAGACATCGATCATTCGGTTTTGATCCTTGTTTGGTTTTTACGCTTATTCGTCTGGCGTTTTTTGTGTGGTTTTTTTTTTGTTTTTCTGGGGGGGGGGTTTGTTTTGGAATTTTTTTGGGTCATGAGACGGCAGAACTGTTTTACACGCGAAATGATAACTTTTCAGA